ATACTTTGTTTTTGGTGCACTTCACTTCGTGCTTTAAGAACGAGGAATACTTTGTTTTTTATATACTTTAGCGGTGCTTTTAGAACTACGAATACTCATGTTGTTTGTGCACTTCACGCAGTGCTTTTAGAACGAGGAATACTCTTGTTTTTTGTGCACTTCGCGCGTTGCTTTTCAGTGTAACAAAGATTACTGTTGTTGTTTGTGCACTTCTCGCAGCGCTTTTAGAACGAGGAATACTCTTGTTATTTATGCACTCTGCATGGCACTTAAAGCAGTGCGAGGATCTTCTTGTTTGTGCTCTTCGCGCGGTGTTTTTATGGTGAATAAATCTCCCTAGTGACATTCATGGATAGACAGCACAGCTTTACGACTCGTTTCCTTTCCATGGTTTCCGTAATGAATGTTCATTACGGGTGTCTCAACCAAGCAGTGATGTAATTATCGCAAGACAACAAAGGAGTCATTCCTGTTTCGTGCAGAGCTCATGACGCGGCACCTCACTGATCATTTACCCCCTCAAAGGAATTAAGCGCCATCATAAAATTGTCCTGAAACTTCTTATTGCTACACTTTTAATACTTGATAAGGACACAAAAATTTACCCTTGAATAGGTGGAGGAATGGAAATTAAGTCCAGTCCTAATATTCTCACGTTTAAAATGGCGGGCCTAATTGGTATCATCTCATGTCTCGTGTGGAATATTTCATTTTAACAGCAACAATAATTTTTTGTCATCAAGCTCTTCTTGGATGGTTTCATTTATTCAGTTCTAAAGTACCTAAAGTACCTGATGGATCACAAGTCACCTGAACAGTGCTCACTGCGGCATGTAAGCTTACGTATGCATGGTCGTGCTCGCTTAGTGATCGGTATTTGCAAGAGCAATTCAGCCCATTCGTAATTCGGACGAAGATCGTCTCTTAGCGATCGTTTTATTGCGAGTTTCATGGTTAAGACCGGGTTAAGGTCACTTTATCTTCAATTGAAAAACGGCCTTACAAATTATAGAGACTTTGGATGCTTGGAGTATAATATGTATGGAAATATGGCCTAACAAACATAAATCAGAGAAAATTCAAGCATCTTTAAAAATATTGTCGTATCTAGGTGAGAAAATCATCATTTGTGCTCTATGATGGATACAAGGTTTTCATTGAAAAAAAAAACCGTTATTTTGCTAAACCGCTGGGTGTCTGTAGTACTAATCAGAGGCCTTCTTAGAGCATTTGTAAGCTATGAGTCGAGGTATTTCTAAATAATGACACTTATTTGGCTTTAATGTTTCATATTCACTCACTAAATACAAAATAGAGGCTATATGTCAAGAATTTGGTCTGTTTGTAGCATGAATTATGCTCAAAATTCCATTTTGTTCGGCCCAAGAGGGGGATGGAGAGTTTGTGCCGAAAACCTAACAAACCTCAATAAGCCAAATTTTTCTCACTTGATTTTGATAAATGGAACACTAAAGTACATACTGGATTTGGTATGAAAGTTATGAAAGAAGGCACGTGAATGTTTTGGTTTTTTGAAAAATTGGCGATTTTGGGTAGTGATTTTGACCTCAAATTTGACCTAACTTTAGCCCCAGGCCCGTCTCTGTTTAATCGCTTGAGAACAAAGTTACATTTATGAAGTAAAGGGTTGGGTTTTTAAGAGTGGGGTCCGTGAGCTGAAACATTAAGAACCTTTACGAAACTGACCGAATCCGAGCTTATAAGCCTCGTAGAGAGGGAAGGCTTGTAATATGGTAAATGTAAAAAAAAAAAAAGCTCCACTATAGTAGAGTCCATGGTCAAATTCATTTGGCAGAACAATTCATCAATCAATTTTTTATAGGGATTTCAAAATGCCACCTATAGGATGAATTTTTGGTGCTCCATAGGCCACAAATGGGAACCCCCCCTCCCCCCCTCCCCCCCTCAAACTCAAGAACAAACAGTCGAAAAAGTGAGCCAGGGTGGCATTTGAAATATTTTATCACACTCAACTTTTGTGCCAAGTATCTGCCAAATCGGTTGACCACCACTTTTGGCATATTTGGCAAACATATTTGAGCACTTATGATGGAGAATGCACGATAAAAATGCATCATCATCATCAACATCATTCCTATCAGGCCTCAATCCCATAATACAGCCTCTTTATTATCAAAAGCATGCTTAACATCTTCTTTCTCTACCTCCTCAAACAGCAAAGGACCTACACTCCCAGGTGCATTCCTTAGGACATGCACTCCCTCTTAATGTCTTCAAGATAGCATAGAGACATTAGCAACTAACAACATTTAAAAGGGGAGAAGGGTAAAGGAATATCTAAAACGTTTTAGGGAGAAGTGTCCCAACTTCTTATGTTTGGGAGTGTAGGTTGTACTTTGGAGTCAACTTTATAGCAACTAAAAGTAACTAAACTTGCCTTGCTCTCCATACATAGTGTCTTAAAGATTCGTGATAAGTAGGACTTCACTTTCTATCCAATTAAAACAAAACAGCTAGTTAGAGAATCAAATGCTTAATGTATGAGCTTACAGTACTATGTCTTCCTTTTTCTTAAATTTCAGGCTGTTGAGAAGTTGCAAAAAGAAGTTGTAAGATTGTTTGTTGAGTTGGATTCCAGTCTTGTAAAAGTGAAAGATAAAAATGGAAGATTACCTTCTGATTTTTAATAACACAAAATATTTCAAAACATTCTAATTGCAAAAGAATCATGACAGGCAGAAATCATGTTAAGCAGGATGTTGGTACCAAAATAAAGGGTGTGGTTCTTCATAGAATGGGATCAGGGTTTGGAATCTTGTAATTAAAAATCAATCAGTTTATAATCTGAGAATTTTATTAATTAATCTTTATACGTCCCAATTGACATCTCTTCTAGACAAAGATTGGGTGAGAAATATTCTTTATTGGGCAAAAGCTCTTAACAAACTCTTCCATTCATCTTTATCTTTTACTCATTTCATTTTTATGACTGAAGACAGAATTTTATAACTTTAGCTCTTGGTGGCAGAATTCTAATGACACTGCTGGAGAGATTAGAGATTATACTTAAACGGCCTACTTCTACAGAATTGTGTTGAAAGCTGAGGAAGATGTATCACTGCAAAGTCTCAAAATTTTACGGATGTTCGTTTAGTAACCCTTTGATGTTTTAATCCTTTGCATCTCCACATTAAGATGTACTTTCTCCATACTGCTCCTTGTATATTTTTAAGACACTGGCAAGGAAAATTTGTGTGGCAATTTTGAACTTCTTTAGTTTTGATCATTTTCTTTATTCTTATGACCTTCATGATTGATTCAGTAGTGTTGTTACAAAGAGAAATCAGACCATAGTCACTCTGAGGAGTTGTAGGGTTAAGAAAACCTCACAGTTGTTAAATCATCAAAAGTGATCTTTGAAGTTCAAAGTTGTTGGCGTAAATGAGAATGAATTATTTAGAGTGACAGAAAACTGTCACAGACATCTGCTGTTTCCAAATTAGAACTTTGTGTGCGCTGCTTAACTAGCCTGCAAAGCAGGCGTAATTTTGGGAAGTCAGTGCTCAGTATTTTTTCGGTGAAATTATAGCGCAAGCTGCCATTGTTTGACTTTTATAGCAGCAGAAGACTAGGGAGAGAGAGAAACTTGTACTAGGGAATTGAGTAACGGTCAAAAGGAAGGAGAGGGGAGGGGGTGGGGAAATAGAAATTACTTCTTTTCACCTTTCCCTGCTCCTGCTCCTACCCTTAACTTCTACTCTAACTCCAAATCAAACACGGCCGGTTACGTAAATCTCGCCCTAAATAGAAGCCTGCGCTGCAGTTTATTGTTTAAAGGATCGTAAAACACTTTATGGTTGTCACTGTAATCTGTCACTGTAATCTGGACCACTTTCTCAGACGGGGACACTTAATACCCAGTCCTCTTCGTTTCAATCAAGGGTCCTCCTCAGAACGAGGTCTCGTGAATATACCGAAAAAGGTACCGCGTATAATGAATGAGCTACCGCACATAATTAAAAAAGCACCCTATGTAGTGGAAATATTATCGCGCAGAATGCAACAAACACCGCATATAAAGAAGAAAGCACCGCCTATGATACAAATGCACCGCATAGAATAAAAAGGCCACCGAGCAGGAGTACATAAGCACCACATATAACGGACTAGGTACAGAATATAATTATTAATTCATCGCGTATAATAATGAAACCACCGCATATAATGAAAAACAACTAAAAATAATGTAGATAAATATCATAGGGCAGGTATGGCGCTCCATGGTCGAGAGCAGACAGTCAATATACAACAGCGGTGAAGTTCACAGAATTCGTGTCATGATATCAAGCTTAACCTCATATAATAATATTATATTTCTGTGTGTAAAAAATTCGTGTTATATTGTGTCTTGAGGCTTTCTCGTTGAAAGGCTATATCGTTAAATGAAGGTGTAAAGAACATCACAAGCGCTCTGAGCTGTGTTAGGTAAGTATATCCGCGTAAACTTAACTGATTCAGAGTTGTAAACCTCGCCTCATACCTTAATTATTTCTCACAAAGCTGTATGGACACTAAGAAAAAATTGAGCTCGTTTAAGAAAGCTCTTGACTCGATGTTCAAAAACTTAGAAGATGTTAAAATTGTTTGTTTGAGGAACGTGTCCGCTTAAGTCGCACTCTTAGGATCCGGCCCTGGTTGTTCAAAGGATGGATAACTAATTATCCGCTGGATAAATCTCTATCCAGTGGGTAAATGTTAACCATGGTGTCATATCGGTTTTTCAAGGTATGGATAGCGCTATCCACTCGCTATCCAGCAGATAAATTTATTATTCGTGGTTGGGTAGTTAGAATAAATTTTTATTCACAGGATAATTAAAAAAAAAAAAAAAAAAAAAAAAAAGGCCGGTTGACAGTTACATCCTCTTCGGTGTAACTTGCCCGACCAATCAACGTCGTAGAAAGGGAGGAATTTTCAGTCGCCAGCTCGATACCTAAGAGTCTTACACTAGGTCAGAAATGAGATACAGGTATCGTTTTGCACGAGAAGCAATACAATACATCGTTAACCTTGTTGCGGACGAAATAACACCACAAACAAATAGGAACCTTGCCGTCTTAACGGTAATGCAAGTCCTCGTTGCCTTCAGATTATTTGTTTCGGGTTTGTTTCTGCATGTGATCGGAGATACTTTTCTGGGATTTGATAAGTCAACTGTCAGCCGAGTAGTTCGTTTGCGACACTAGCCTTGACTGCGAAGTTAGGCGATTTCGTAAGCTTTCCGTTCACTCGCGCTGAAGGAAACAAGATTAAGCAAGGTTTGTTTCGAGTTGGTGGTTTTCCTTGTGCCACTGGGTGCATCGACGGTACCCACGTTAGAATAATAGCCCCTCAGGAAAATGAACCGGACCTCGTGAACCAGAAAGGATTTCACTCCATCAAAGTCCAAGAAATCTGCGACCATCGAGGTAAGCAAATATGTCTAGCTCTGATTATTGGTTTAGCAAAGGACAGCATGTCCGTTTAACCTCACGCTTTTTTGTGCACACTATCTCATGTAAATAACAGGAGTTATTTTATCCTAAATGTGGGCATGAAAGCCGTAGAAATTTCGCATCCAATGTGTAACGCTATTCTGTCACGTTAGGAGCAATGTGCGACAGATTGTCTAGAGCACAACATTTGAACAAACGTGTGATCACGTGATTCACGCAGCTACAATTTATCTTGTAAACAAGTGAATGAAATTCATTAAAAATGATCGAATCTTCGAACTGTGCTATTACCCGTTTGATTCTATAGCTATCGGGTGTAATCGATTTTGTTTTTTGCAAACGGGTATTGAGTCTTCCAAAGGTGACATGACAACAATGAAAATATTCTTCGGTGATCACTAAATGTTTTCTTTAACATGGACATTTTTTTGGTGAACTGCGTTGGTTCAAGTGCTGGAACAAAGCATAACAAGCATAACAGCGCATTCTCTTGTTAAGTAGCATTGTCAAATAACGAGTAATTTGTCGTTGCTCAAAGATACAGGCTAAGGAAAGTCTTGAAGTTTACCATATCAAGAAAAGGATAAATTGCTCCGGGTTAGGGTTGTTAATTGTTGTTAGTTACGAACTGTAGTTCATTGTTAGCAGCAATTACGTTCCGAGTACACTATTTGGACAAAATGAATGAGGTGATCTCGCGATTACTACTCCAAGGGAAGACTCGTGCAGAAATACTTTACACCTAAGCTGTATCAAAATTTTGCGTCCACAATGTAAAACAAAAATATTAAAACCAGCTGTAGTGTCTTGAATACAATTGAATTTTGCAGGAGTGTCCACAAATGTTGTGGCTGGATGGCCTGGTTCAACTCATGATAGCTATATTTTCCGGACGTCTGCCATAGGGAGTAACCTTGAAGGGACTGGTCTCACAGATGGTGTGCTACACGGGTATAGTGGCTATGCATGCTCTCCATTCCTCGTGACTCCATACCTCAACCCCAAAAGACCTTAGGAGGAGCATTTCAACAGAGCAAACAATTCCATATGCTATAGTCAGACTTGAGGATGGCTCCTGACAGGGTATGCAGCACAATTGTAGCTTACTGCATTTTACACAACCTCGCTGTCAACTTAAGGGAACCAGAGTCAGAGGACTTTGACATGGATGGTGAAGAGTGTGCTGCTGACCTTCACACCCAGTACCATGGCTGAGAAACCGGTAATGTTGTTACAGAACACGCTGCTTAAAACCTTTTTAAATTTCTACACTGGGAGCTGAAACTCAAACATACACTTAATTGCAATAATGTTGACACGTACTGTAAATGGCGTGATTCATGATAATGAGAGCCGATGGCTTTATGGGAAATGTTCACATAGTTACATGATCAATGCTCTATTTTTTATGGAAATCTTAGGGGTCAGCGTTCTTGCAATTGAGTGTAAACATTTGAAAGAAATAGTGACACTCACAATAGGCTTTTTGCAATAGTCCAATGTATATCCTACCTTTTATGATAAGCATTGAGGTAATAAGGCATTAAGGTAATAGGCATTAGGCATGCTGCTAGCATTACAAATACATGAAAGAAAGAAAAAAACCACGATTTTAAAGTGTGATGTAAAACTACTTCTTGGAGTCTCACCCTCTTGGAGTCTGAACCTTACTTTTCAAAAGCTTCAAATCGCTGACTTTTGAAACCGTACTCACGACCGCTGGACTCAAATTTCGAGATTAAGACCGCGATGTGCACCGTTTCGATAGGACGGGTATTGGGGGGATCTTAATTTAGCTTAAGTTACGATTCGCTCGACTTCAAAGACATTAAAATGTATTTTATAACCAGGCGGTAAAGGGTAAAATATGGACTGGACTATTTTATGGACCTTTTTTTGGACCATTTTATCGAAATGGGAAGCACATCATAAACACCCAGGGAGGGGTGGGATGCAGTCTATTAGTACTGAGGAAGGGTGGGAGGCTGAGTGTTATCACTCAGGGAGGGGTGAGAGACTGATTGTTATTAAGCAGGGAGGGGTGGGAGGTGGTTGTAATAGTAAACGCTTCTGGTTAATGAAGCTTTTAGTCGATTATATAAATTATTTTAATCGATTTTTCGGCTGACTTTTTGTATGCCAAAATTTTTGCGCTGGGCCGCGGCGTTCAGTTTCCTTTTTTTGTCGTGCGCTTGCGAAACTGCCATCTTAACGCTGGAATTAAATTGTTATTGAAAATATCGCTTTTACGATCCTTCACTGTTGAGTTATGCGTGTGGCTTTTGAGTCGACTTGTGCACCATCAGTTGCTTTACGTTTTCTTTTATTTATTCAGAGTATAATTACTAAATTTATCTATCTCCCTTTTGCCATTGACCTTATCAGACAATCACTCACTCACTCATGCCCATTATGCCGTGTGGCACGTAGAGCGGCCTTATCAGACAAGATCATGGAATATCCGGTCCTTAGCCCTCAACTGAGCACCAGAGAATTCAACAGCGCTATTGCAATTCTAACGCTTTTACCTTTACTATATAAAATCATTGTTGGCACAATCCTACAAAGCAATCTTCTCTCTTTTCAGATACACAATTTTCCCCTTTTTGATACAATAAACACACGCTGGAGTGTCATATCACGCATTTTTCCACTTCGTAGCTTGATGATTAATATATCAGTACAGCTTTAGCGCTGTTTGATTTATCAAATAACAGGTTTGGCTTTTATGGGTTAAGGGTGCAATTTTTCTTTCACATAGCCACTGCATTGATTCATTAAATCCACACAAGTGCAAATTACAGAATTACCTTTTTCGAAAATTACAGATTTCTAAACCACAAATGAGGTATTTCCCTTTCCTTTCGCAAATTACCGATTTGAGTTAATCTCACAAAAATATATTTATTTCATGTAGTTTCGCTTCGCAAATCAGGGTTATCATGGTTAACAGGTCGAGCCTTTTTGTAAGCAGAGGCGATAGCGGCTTTTTCAATGATTGGTGAGAAAGCTTGCATTCATCGGAGAAATTAGCTAGACAAAAATTTCGGTATCTTGGGGGCATAACTTTGTTATCACAAGATCAATATTCGTATAGGTACTCACATGATTTCAAGAGGAATTTGGAATAAATAAGCACGAGTAAATTTTTTTAAAGACTAACAAAATTGTACTCGCCCTACGGGCTCGTGCAATTTGTGGTCTTTGAAAAAATGAACAAGTGCTTGTTTATTCCAAATTGCACGAGAAAAATCATGTAATTACGTGTTAATAATATACATGAAAAAATACGAGATGGCCCATCACAATTAATAAGCATAAGCGCGCGCATCAAGTGCAAAAATAATTTATTCAAACCGTGCGCTCGGTCAAAACAACTGCCTACGATCAAAACAATAATATGCATGATATCTTCACATCTTTAAGGCGCAAAAATATTCAAAGTCCGGCTAGACAGTTCAAGGAATTGTTTAGTCTGTGTCCGAATCACTTTCGATGAAATGGAATCGTCGTTTCCGAGGTTTAACCATGTTTGTTTTTAATTTCGGCGTTTGATCGAGTTTCTTTGATTATCAATTGACCTATTAGAATGTCTGATTTGTTACTTTATTTGCACTGAATTAACCCTCTTCTGCACTTAATTAACTCTCTTCGGCACTGAATTACCTGAAACTGCATTTATCTTAACCAATCAGAACTGAGTAATTTTTCCATGTATATTATTAACCGGGGAAGCCCAATGATACAATTGACCGGTTGTATGATTCTTGGCCGGACAGATCGAATGGTCTGCAATTCAATTAATTTCAATGTGGTATTGACTTTAAGTTCGATGATTTTCGATCACTGCTCGTTCCATGAAGATAACTCACTTTGCATTTATTGTTTGACGAAAATGACTATTCCCAAAGTTACGAACAGAGTGCATGAATTAAAAGTTTTGTTATCGCGCGGCAGTTTTCGTGGAGCACGCTCACTCTTCAGCTTTGTGTCATTTTTAACTCGTGAATTGCGCGCATGCGCAAGAGCGAGTTATAGATACGATGTGGGGAATGGCATTTGCTCGCTCGATTGGTCGATTCCTGTAAACTTTTTTTAGATTTTAGGCTTTTGAGTGCATTTGATAGTTTTTGGCGAGCAATAAACAGACGAAATGGCGACCTTTGTTGCTAAGAATAGTGGTGGGGTGAAAAAGAAGCCAATGATAATCTTAAAAGAGTTTTTTTTTTTTCGTTTTAGTTTTAACAAGCGGCGCCAGCGGCTGGCAGGCATGCAAGGATTCACACTGAAATAACAGAACAACCTTCGTTTTTCATAAAATTGTAATTTACAATCCTTGAACTTGAAAACAATCCGAAGATTCGTTGAAAATATCACTTGAACAGATGTTCAAAAGCTTTTTCTGTCTTGGCGTGAGATTGAGGACAAAATTGATCATTACGTTTCGTCGCGTGTGTTTTTCCCGTGTGAAGCAACAGAAGATGCCGGCGACTGACGAAATTACAAGTTAACACGAAAATCAAATAACACCTAAACAAACAATTTTAGCTACCGATTTTCAGTGAATTTTTAAAGAACAATTTTCTTTTAAGTTTCAAGACAATTTGAAGATTCAACATACATACAACGTACTAAAATGCGAAAGTTACACACCACAAAATTGATAAATAGGCCTGAAATGAAATTCTATCTTGTTATGGATTATACTTTGCCTAGCACGTGACTTAAATCTACCCAGGTGGAGATGCAAAATGACGGTGGCAGTCTTGGCTTAGTTACATCACTCAAAACTCGTTCCCGTTTGTCTCATTTGATAAAGAGGGAATCGTTAATGTTTTCATTATGACAGTATTGCCTTGATTTTCTAATATTTACAACGAAAGACAGTAAATTTCACTTTTCACCCACATTTACTTCCAACCTTTTCTTTTGAACCAGAAACAAAAATGATAGACGTTTAAAACACATGACATCATCCACCTTGTCAATTGTAATAGCATGATCATTTCAATTGTAATGTCTTCTTATCCCGACGTTACTTTGTTTCTTTGCTACATTAGCGAACACTGAACTACTGCTCGTACTCTAGATATGACAATCAACCACAAAATTCCCTAAACCAGATAACACTAAACATAATCTAAAAAATCATGTGTAAATTCACGAGTTTGCTCACAGAGCACTTTGATTCTCTTAAACGAACGTTCAGTAGTATGCATTAATTAGCGGCTAAAGTAATACAAATTGTAAGAGGAAATTATTTATCACGTTTTGCTATTAGAAGGTCAATTGCTGCCGACTCTGATACTTGTAGCGCTACTTTTGAATGGTAGTTTCTCGCGAAACTGTCGGCTTGTCGAACATTGTTAGGAAATTTCTTCCTCCATTTGTGCATACAGTATGGGAAACACTAAAATATAGAAATGTATGGCAGCTCCGCTCTCTTGCAAGGTGCAATTTTCAAGAAACGAAGACTCCCTTTATTAAGCCCATCGAAATCAAATACATAAAGAGCTGGGTCTTTAAAGTACATAGGGGAAATGACAATTCTTACCGTTTATTAATCACGAGACAATTATTGTTTATCGATAACAACAAATACAACAAAAGGTGATATAACGGGTGCAGACAGGAAAGCTATCGTTGCCCATTTCCTCACAGCCCACACACTTTAACTTTAATTGTACAATTCGGTATTTTCCTAATTTTTGCATAATATTTTGATTTGGCCTGCAGTTAGCACACACTTATCACTCTGACTGTTTAGAAATTGGAAAGAGATTGCGTTTTCTCTCGAGTCAAAGCATCGAAGTCGTTTTGTCATTGTTTCTGAGAGGGCCTACTGTGATTTGCCGTTTGAAATGAAACAAAATGAAAAAATGTTATTTGTGAGATTAACTCAAATCGTTAATTTGCGGAAGGGAAATACTTTATTTGTGCATAAGAAATCTGTAATTTTCGAAAAGAGGTAATTCTGTAATTTTCACTTGTGTGAATTTAATGAATAAATGCATCGGCTCTGTGAAAGAAAAATTGCGCGATTAAGCCATAAAAGGCAAACCAATCATTTAACCCTTTAGCTCCCAAATCAAATTTGTAATTCTCCTTACTGTCAACCATACAATTCTTACAATGTTAGTTCAGAGAATTTAGTATTGGATCCGCCAATCACTCCCAAATTGATGTTTTATTTTATTCTCATTCCTTATCTGGTTATAATAATAAAGTTCGGATATAACGCGTGCTGTCATTGGTTGAAAGAGCATGCTCTATGAGAGTATAGAGCATAGAGCTGAGCTAAAGCTGTCTCGCCATCTACCAAATTGTACTATGT